GGCGAGGACCCAAGGGTCGAGGTTGCCTTGGGAGGTCAAATTCTGGAGGCTGGCCCCTTCTGCCCTTCGTGGGTAGTCTTGCTTAAGCCACCTTTCCTGTTCTGTCCTCTGTTTCCTCTCTCCCTGTCTTCCCATCCCTCCCTCCTCATTACCCCCAAGTTGCATAGCTTGATTTTCCCATGATTTATTTTATGAAAAACCCAAGTTAGCCAGATTCCTCTGGCCTTCCTGCTCATTAAGCTCACAGTTCAAATGTTTACATCTCAAAACACACCCAAAAAAGGCTCAAATGTGACATCTTTGGCTTTTGGAGGAAGAGTCCTACTGTGAATTAGGAGGTTCACTTCTGTCTTTTGTTCTGCCTCCAACCTCCCACTTTACTGACCTTGTCAAGGTCAGGAAGTGACAGGTTAGCCTCAACTGAGTGACTGCTCGTGGCCTCCTCAAACATGGCAGCATGTTGGTACCTCAGTGCCTTTGGTTATCCTTGTTCCTCAGTCTCCATTTATCCTTCAACCGGTAACAAAAGTTATCTGAATATTTCTTGCTGACAGGACATGCTAGAGTGAGATCTGGGGATATAACAGAAGACAAGATAGAGGTGATTGCTGTTCTCATGAAGGCTCCACCATTTCGGGGTTGCAGAAATCTCAGAGTTAATATGTCAGCCCTTGTCTCCAGCTCTGCTCCTCCTCAGGTGTCCCCCATTCAGCTTAAGCCACTATCATTGCCTCATTGTCTCCTTTTCCCTCATCCCCACCCTCTAGTCTGTCAGCTAGTCTTGTCCATGGTGTCTCCAAAATAGAGCTCTTCGGGATCACTTTTCTCCACCTCATGGAGATCATTTTATTCTATCAGCTCTTAACAATTGCACCGAATGGCTCCTCCCACTTTTTTGTTGTTCTTCCTAACCCAAGAGTTCTCAAAGTGGAGTCCCTTGGATCAGGAGGAACCACATCATCATGGAACTGTTAGACATATGTCTTCATGGGCCTCCCCTGACCTATTGCATCAGAATCTCTGGCAGTGGGGCCCAGCAATCTTGAGTTTAACAAACACCCCGGATTATTTTGATGTAAGCTCACATTTCACAGCATCTTCTGTCCATTTGCCAACCAGGAAAGGCACTCAGAGCTTTTTATGAATTCTCTTATTTCCTTTCATTTTACAGGTGAAGGGACTGAGGTCTGATCTTAGAGAGTAAATTGCACTGTATCACTTCTTTTTTTTTTTTAAGATTTTATTTATTTATTTGACAGACAAAGATCACAAGTAGGCAGAGAAGGAGGTAGAGAGAGAGGAGAAAGCAGGCTCCCCGCTGAGCAGAGAGCCCGATGTGGGGCTCGATCCCAGGACACTGGGATCATGACCTGAGCCGAAGGCAGAGGTTAACCCACTGAGCCACCCAGGCGCCCTGCACTGTATCACTTCTGAGCTGAAGACCATGCTGGAACTTCCCACACCCTTTTCTACAGCCTCTAAGATGCTATCCCATCTGACCCCAGCCTCCCCTTGAGCAATACTTCTTTGGACGCACTTGCTTTAGGACATTCCAGTCTTTCAGTTTCAGGAACATATAGTTCTCTTTTCATTCTCAGGGCCTTTGCACATACTGTTCCTGGTGCCTGGAATACTCACTCTCCCATTACTTTACATGGATAACACCTTCACTTCATCATTCATGCCCAGGAAAAATGTCACCTCCTCTGAAAGACTGCCCCTGACTGTCTTAAAATAGGTTTCTCCATTTCTTTTTTTATTCTTAAATTTTTATTGTGTTATGTAAGTCATCATACAGTACATCATAAGTTTTTGTTGTAGTGTTCCATGATTCATTGTTTCTTTATAACACCCAGTGCTCCATGCAATCTGTGCCCTCCTTAATACCCATCACTGGACTCACCCTTCCCCCACTCCCCCTCCCCTCTTAAACCCTCAGTTTGTTTCCTGGAGTTCATAGTCTCTCATGGTTCGTCTCTGTTTCTGTTCCTTATATGTCTCTATACAGCACACACTTAGTAAAAACTTTATTCATTCTTTTATTTTTTTAATGTCTCCTCCACTGGGAGGTAAGTTCTTTGGGAGTAGGAGCTAGGTCTGTTCCCCATGGAATTCCTAGTACCTACCGTAGTCCCAGAAATACAGTATGGAACAAATGAACGAGTGAATGAACAAATGAACAAAAGTAGTCTAGATTATTTTGTTTTGTCAACAAAATCTTTACTTGTCCTTATGATCTCAGGCCAAATACTACCTTCTCCAGGGAACCTTCCCTCGTCGCCCTTGTGGAATTAATTCTGTGTTCTTCCAGGGTTCTGGAAGGCACCATCATGGCAGTCATTTCCTGGTGAGGCAGCATGGGTGGGCGGCAGTGGGAAGGCAAGAGTGTGGGCTTTGAGGCACAGAGACTTGAGTCCATAAAGCGGCCTGTGTCACTTCTGGGCTGCTTGCCATCTTGTGTCTCTGAGTTCTCTCACATGGAAGATGGAGAGTCTCTTGTGAGGATGGGTGTGATGTGCCCAGCACAGAGCAGGCTCTTTAGAAATGGTGGCTATTAGTGTTTTAGAGCTGGTTGTTCACGTAACTCTCATTCAAGGGAGAATGAGAGAAGGAGCTCCTGGAGCACTGGTCTCTGCCTTGTTAGCCGTGCTGATTGAGGGTGGAGGCAGCGTGAGTCCTCTGCCCGACCCTGCCCATGTGTGCCCAGGGCATGGTTTTGGTGGCCAGCCGGCCAGAAGACAGTGAGAGGGCTGTCTGTGTCTGTGGGTGAGCCTGGCCTATGACTCACAGGCAAAGGGAACACAACTGGTTTCAAAAGCAAGCTAGACCTATTTACTGATGGCCCCCTCCAGTGAACATCACAAACAGATGAGCCCCAAACTCAAAGAAAACCATGGGATCCTCGCTTGAGCCAAGTGTCCCATTTGCCACAAGATGCCACCGAGTTGTTTTGCAACACCATTTTGAAAGGCCCACCCAGACTTCTTCCTCCCAGCGCTTGGTCTCGGCTGCGTGGGTGGCACGGGAGGTGGGAGACCCTGGCTTCCTGGGAGGACCCCAGCTATCTGCCCTATCCTCATTGGAGATGAGTGAAGTCTGCTTGTCTCTGACTGAGAATCCTGGCCTCCGGGTAGATGCTGATGACTGCCAGTCCCTTCTCCCTCCTGCAGCCTGCTCTCTTCCATGGAGCTTCCTGATCTGCTCTCCTAGTGTTGACCTCCGCCCGTGCCCGTGATGGGGGGGCCCATCTCCAAGTTCTGTGACAGCCGCCATCTTGTGCTGTGTTCAGTTGCAGGGTCACTCAGGAAGGCCTTGGCTTCTTCTGGAGGCAGGCTTCTGCCACTGGTCAGCTTCCCGAGTGTCCCCTGGCCACAGCACATGGTTGTGGGACTTCTGCCTCCAGGCCCCCCTGCACCCCTCCCCCCCAGTGTCGACCAGTGTCTCCCTCATCTGAGGCTTTTGGATCATACCTTCATGATTTCTGCCTTAGTATGTTTGCAACTGATATTGTTACTTCCTATTTTTCTTCGAAGCTACTCACAGTTTAATATCAATAGACATTTTACATGGAAAATTTATACCTCTATCAGAGGTAGAAAACCTTTGCTAATTGCCATTAATAATAGTAATAGTACAACAAAGGTAAAATCACTTTATTTCAGCTAGATCTTTCTGCCTGTCCGAGACTTGAGCTTGGAGCGTGCTTTCTCTCTGTTAAAAGGGAGAGCAGCAAGTTTGAGAGATGTGTTAAAGTTGGATTCGCAATAAACTGTGACCTTTTCCTTGATACAGAAAATTTGAAAGAGAATCACGAACAAAGTCATTTCTTGATTTAATGTTATTGAAGGCTATGTGTGGGTACCATCCCAACCATTTCAGGTATAGTGATTTTAGTCAACAATACTGTATTTTATATTCCAAAATTCCTAAGACCCTAGATTGCAGGTGTTCTTACCACAATAGAGAAATGAATGTTATGTGACCTGACTGAGATGTTAGCCAAAGCTAAAGTGGTAATCCTGTTGTAGTATATAAATGTGCCAAATCACCATGTTGTGTATCTAAAGGTATACGATATTGTATGTAAATTGTATCTAAGAAAACCCCGAATACGTACATAGCGAAGGCACTAAGTGTTTTGCAGAGATTATCTCACTTTATTATTTTTTTTTACAACCCTGTGTTGTTTATTATAATTATCCCCATTTCAAAGATTAGGAAACTGTGTCATCAAGAGGCTAACATGCCTCTTCACAAAGCTTATGAGTACTAGTGGAGTCAGAATTGGAAGCTAGCTGTTTCATTCTAGAAGTCTTGATCTCAAATGCTAGTCTCCATGGCCTTTTGAAGCGGTCACTTGTCCCGCCATTTTTGGGAGATGCTGGCCTCATGAAAGGTTGCAGGCAGTGAGGTCTCATCCCTGAGCAAGGTGGTTATGGGGTAGGTAGAGCTGCTTCCTTCTGGGGCTGGAAGCTGTAGTGCTCTTGTGTCTTTAGGTCTGTTCTCTTGGTTGAGTGCCTGCTGTGGGCATGGCGCTGTGCTGGGCGCTAGGGTTGTGGACACAAGTGCACCCCGGGCCTTGGTCTCAGGGAATTCCAGTGGGGGGTGGGGTGGGCATGGGGAGAAACGTGTAAATGACCCAGACAGTGCCGTATGTTGGAGTTCTATTACAGAGGGAAGCAGGGGGGTGAGGTGGGCGCTAGGCACCTCCCTCACCTTGGGAGGCAGAGAGGCAGGTGGGTTTTGAAAATGCCTCCTGAAATGATGAAGGATGCAAAGGTTGAGAAAGCTTGAGAAAAGGGCTGGGGCTGACCAGCTGGGTACGGGGAGGGCAACCTGCTTCTCGACTCCCTTGAAGAGTGTAAGCCATTCTCTGAACATTCTGGGGAAGAAGTTGTGCCGACTCTTCTTTGTCACTGATTTTTCAAACACCCATCTGGGATTTGTGGATGGTGACCAGTGAAGACTCTGGCTTAACAGAGAGAACTTGGAGGCTTCGGTCCCCCGCCGTTCCCCAGAGAACCACAGATCCCTGCAGCCTCTGTACCACTGTCACAGCCCAAGACTGAGGTGCAAATTTGGCCAGGCCAGAGAGGTAATTTTAGGGGTAAGTTTATTTCTTTGAAACCCCACACTGGCCGTTGGGCCCGGTTTTTATGTGAGGATTTTGTGTTCTGCATATAAGGAAGTACTGCTCCTTAGCTTCTACGAATGTGTCCAAAACCTCCATCTCCTGAATAAACTCGTGCTTTGCAGATGAACTGAAACATTCTGGGGCCACACTCAGAATAGAACGTCCTTGGCTGGGCGTTGTAATCCCTGGTGAGCCGCTGACAAGAACCCTGGAGTGGGGACCGCCACGCTCCATACTTGGAGCGCCTTCCCGAAGGCGGGCGGCTTCAGCACGCGGAGCCGAAGGGCCAAAGTGATGAATGGCAGGCTGTGAATGTTTGTGGGGAGAGGCAAATGTTCCCTGGACTGTTTCAAGGATGCATATACTCTCGGGCAGTGTTTGATAAGTGGCAGTGGAGGGCTAGTTTTGGCACCAGTGGGGAGGAAAAATAGTCACAATTCAGACCTTCTAACCAGAGCAGCTGAGGTTGTATCTCTGTGGAAAATGGAATTGTTTGGGAATCTGCTCAGGAAGCAGAGGCAGGTGGGAAACCAGACTGCCTAACTTTTCAAGATAACCGTGTCTTTTTTTTTTTTTTTACCCCCTTATAAAAGTGGAAGGTGAGGCCAGTTGGGAAGCTTCCAGGTCACTTTCAGATTTTAAGTCCAGTGATCATCTGGGGACAGTAAGTAGGAATTTGCTGTTGTTTTGCTCCATGTATCGGGCAGGTTCCTTAGCTGCAAGTTATAGAAATACTCGAGGAGTTTCTCAGCAGGACATTGAGTGCACTCGCAGGATTGAAAGCAAAGCCAAGCGCCTGAATCATGCGAGGGAGGGGACCTGGGAGACGCTGGGGATCTGGGGAGCTAAACTGAGATGCTGTCTCCTGGGGCTTCAGTGGTAAGTCCATCAAGCCTAACCTTTTGGGTCTTGTGTTATTCTACTCTAGCCTCAAAATTCCTGGGTGAGAGAGGGCCTAATTGACCTATCTTGGGTCCAGTATCCACTCCTTGGGCAAGGGAACACAGGGTGCCTGGAATCACAGGCCCATCAAGACTGAATAATGGAGTGTGGCCTGGAGGCAGGGAGTGGAGTCAAGAAGAGAAGGATAACTGTCCAAGAGGAAAGTGCATTGTTACCAAAAATAGGAGGCATGGATACTGGATGGGCCAAAATAACAGCTTTCCATTACCCTGACATGATGGATGAAAAGGAGATAATTTGGACTGTTGCAGTGCCCGTTTTTAAGGTCACATTGAGCAAGGCAACTGCTCTTCTCAGCCCAATCCTACCACATATTCCACCTATTACGTATTCCACCTGGCTGCCTACAGACAAGAGTTTCTACATGTGGCCCAGGAGTTAGGCAGGGCAGGATCCTGGCTCTTGCAGCTGTCTGGTCCATCGATGAGCAGAACCACACACACAGGAGTAAGCAGAGCTGCATGGACGGCAGTGGTAATAGTGGGGAATGTGTATTTGTAGTTTTGGAGTCATAACCACGATTGTTTACACATGTTCCTTGTGTAAGGAAGGAAGAAGAGGAGGAATATGAGGGGAAATGATAGCAACCCCAAAGCCCTTGGTTTACTTTATTCCTTTGCCCTCTTGGGTTAGGTGAGTAAGGGAGCAAGTGACATTGTTACATTTCCACCAAGTGCTAGTCTTCCCATGTACTGCCAGTGGAGAAACAGCTTCTGGCAGCATTTTCCAGAGCTGTTCTATGGGATCTAGGCTTTGAGAATCTCAAGACAAACAAACAAAAAACAAAAACCCCAAACCCCCAAAATAAAAGAAACAAAAAAAAAAAAAGGAAAAAAGAAAAAAAAGGAATGTGTTAGAGTCAATTAAGCTTGGAATATGTTGCAAATTATATTGTGTTTTGGGTATTCATGATAGGCATTGGCACTGATAAGTCCTGCAGCATACAAGCCTGTTTAGTCTAATTTGGCATTTCCCAAACATTCTTGACCACACAGCATTTTAAAACAACACCTATTACTAGGTAACATCTTTGGTTTTGAGGAATGCTCACAGTGCTCTTGCACTTCCATTGATCAGGAACCTGTGGGGTCTTTGGTCACCTCTTCCTCTTCTGGGCACTTGAAGATTTCTATGCAGTGATTTCAGACACCATGTTTCCTTATATTTGATCATTCTAAAGCAAGCCTAGGGCCTCAAAGCTACTTACATGTTGCTCCAGATTTTCTGTGACAAGGTTCATTTAGCCTCCCACCAAATGTTTGTCTGATGCCAAGATGCAATGTTCTAGGAGGCATAGTTGGAAGCAGAGAAATGAATAATGGATGGGCACCTCCTTATAGAGCCTCTGGGCTCACAGGGCAAGGGTGTGTGCAAAAAAAAAAACAACATAAAAAAAGAGGTGGGATGACTAACAATAAAATGATAGTCTAGGCCAGCTCTGGGAGGGGCTTGGTGTCTCATGTGCAAGCTAAGACACTCAAATTAGGTACATTGTACCTAAAGCCCAGCAACACTGCTCCATGGTGGCTATTATGTTCCCTTTTCACAGTTAGGAAAACTGAGGTTTAGAGAGGTCTCTTTTTTGCCCGATAATGTGTGGTCTGTGAATGATGGAGGCAAGTGTTCAAACTAGCTCTGTCCAACTCTGAAACCCTGGGTCTTCCCAGACACCCTGCACTGCTGCCATTTACTGACCAGATTTCCCAAATCCCAAAGCCAGGTCATTTTGGAGACTCTCAAATATTAGAGTGGGATCAACTGTTTAAATGAGTATTGTCTTGGAAAACCTGAGCCGTGATTTTTGTCACTGGTGGGAATTGAGAGGAGGGCAGCTTTCACCTCTAAAAAAAGTGATTTCTAATTGTGTGACCAATTCATAAATGCACACATGAAGAATAAAATTATTGCTCCAGGCAAGCTAAAATATGGCTGTTAATCCTGGCCTCCACCTCTGTGTGATCAGTTTGGGACATATTCCTCTGAACCTTTCTCTGTGTTACTTAATGTACAAATGAATATAATCATGGGAAGCGTTCCACTGAGTGAATTATCTTGCACTTGTTTTTTTCCACTTAACAATATATTTGGAGCTCTTTCTATGCTAGAACACATAGCTATATAAGTTTTTTTTTTTTTAGCAACTTATCCTTTTGAAGCAGTAACTTTAAAAAAAAAGATTTATTTATTTAGTTTAGAGAGAGAGAGAGAGAGAGAGAGAGAGAGAAAGGAGTATGCAAGTGCGGGGAGGGGTAGAGGGAGAGAGAATCCACAAGCAGGCTCGCCGCTGAGCACAGAGCCCTACTAGGGGCTTGGTCCCAGGACCCTGAGATCATGGCCTGGACCAAAACCAAGAATCAGCCACCCAGGCGCTCCCGAAGAAATAACTTCTTATTTTGAAATATAAAAGTTGCATGAATACTATGAGTAGTTCACAAAATCTTCAAATACCTTTTAATATTTTGCCCTACCTGCTATCTGTATGTGTGTGTATGTATATAATGTATATACACACATATTGTAGATACGATGTGGTTTTCTTTTCTGAATCAATTGAGAGTACGCAGTGTACATTATACTCCTTTCCCCCTAAATACTTCACTGTACATTTCCCAAGAGTAGAGATATTCTCCTAAATAGCCATTAGTCGTTACCAACGTAACTACATTTAATATTGATATGCTGCTTTTATGCAGTCTTCCATCTCTATTCCCTTTTTTTGTCAATTGATTTTCCATTTTTTGTCAATAATGTCCTTTACAGTATTTTCCCCTGCAGTCTAGGCAGCCATCTGGGACCAGATATTGTTCTTAATCATCATGTCTTTTTGTTCTTTAAGTAAGATGGAACATTTTTTATAGTCTCTCTTTGGGTTTTGTGATATTGACACTTCTGAAGAATATGGAATGGACTGTTTCTTACCAGGGGTTTTCTAACGTTCTCTTATGATTAGATTGATGATTAGATGCAAGGCTTGCATTTTCAGCCGGGATATTATAGACGGGATGAGTCCTTCTCAGGATGCCACATCAGCACACACGTGTCTGCCCACCCCTTGTTGGGGATGCTCATTTTGATCACCTGGTCAAGATGTTGTGTGATTTATCTCCTAGGAAGTTAGGAGATAAATTTTTTTCCCCCTCAAAACTAATATGCATTCTCTTGGAAGATACTTAAGGCTATGCAAGTGGCCTGCTCCTCATCAGTATTTCTCCCCAGATTTAGCATCCCTTGATGATGTGTGCCTGAGCCCATCTTTATTAAGATGGCTGTAAAATGATGATTGTCCAGCCGTAACAGTCCATCCACATACACCAGCGGGCTTGGCATTCTGTTGTAAGCCAGGGCCCTCCTTTCCCTCTTCTTTGTTTACCTATTTATTGTGGACTCATGGGTTCTAAGTTTTTAAGGGTCTATGATTTGTTATTATTCTTAATTATTTTGGTGCTCAAATCATCTCCCATTTGCCCAGTGGAAGTCGCTTCTTGTGTCCTTGTGACATGTACTCATCATTTTTCGAGTATGTTTTTACTTTCTGGCATTACACAATGTTCCAGGCTCATCTTGTACCTCCCCTGTCTCAGCCCCAGAATTAGCCATTATCTCCAAGGAGCTCTAATTTCTTTTAGTAGGGAATGGTATCAGAGACCGAGATCTGCACACTAACGTGCTTGTTGCTACGGAGTTTCCATCTCCTACATTTTTTTTAACTACTGCCTGGTATTTCATAGAACAGTTGCATGATAGTTCATGTATCTGTTGCCCTATTGATGGATGCTTAGGTTGCTTCCAGTTTGTCTCTATTTCAAGCAACTCTGAATGAATAGTCTCATCAGTGCTCTTTGTACATTTGTAGAAGGAGCCTCTCTCCAAGGGTGAGTGACAAGAAGTGGAATTGCTTGCTCGTAAGCTGTGCATGTTTACCATTTTACTACATACAGCCAGTTTATTCTCCACAGTGGCTCCACAAGCGTCGGACCCAATAAACAGGATATGAACGTCTTTATTTTTCC